TAATTCCAGCACTTTGGGAGTCCGAGACGGGCAGGTCATGAGGTCAGGAGTTCAAGATCAGCCTGATCAACATGGTGAAACCCCGTCTCTACCAAAAATACAAAAATTTGCCAGGTATGGTGGTGTATGTCTGTAATGCCAGCTACTCAGGAGGCTGAGGCAGAAGAATCACTTGAACCCGGGAGGTGGAGGTCGTGGTGAGCTGAGATAGCACCACTGCACTCCAGCCTGGGAGACAGCAACACTGTCTCAAAAAAAGAAAAAGTTCTTCTCACCTTGTTTACTTTTTATACTTAAACTGTAAATTTCTAGTCCTCACATACCATATTTAATATAATGTAAGACACTAAGACTTGTTTTCCAGTGGCCTTGTGATCACACAAATTGACATATCCTTGTTTTACTTATTAACACTTTGTAGAAGTAGAAAATACTGAGGTAACGTTTTGACATTCAGAATTTGACTATGTACTGGATTGTTGTTTTTCCTGGCAGCTCTACTTTTCCCTTTGTTCATTTCCTTTGAGAGAAATTGTAACCATTAGCTAATGCCTCTCATTTATCAAGGACTTAACACACGTCCTATGCGCTTTACTCATACCTCATTAAATCATCACAACAACTTTGCAGGAATGAATTTTTATTTTTGTTTATAGTTTGGAGACTGAACATCAAAGGTTATGCATCTTATTCAAGATCATATAGTAAATAAATGACAAACATTTTCTCGAGTAAGTTTCTGCTTACCTGTGCTTTTGCCAGCCTCAAAGATTCCTAGAACCATAAATTTTAAATTAAAACTGTATACATTAGGCTGCGCGCAGTGGCCCATGCCTGCAATCCCAGCATTTTGGGAGACCAAGGCAAGCAGATCACCTAAGGTCAGGAGCTCGAGACCAGCCTGATCAACATGGAGAAACCTCGTCTCCACTAAAAATACAAAATTAGCCAGGCGTGGTGGCGCATGCATATAATCCCAGTTAATCAGGAGGTGGAGGCAGGAGAATTGCTTGAGCCAGGGAGGCAGAGGTTTCGGTGAGCTGAGATCTACCCATTTCACAGCAGCCTGGGCAACAAGAGCAAAACTCATCCCAAAAAAACCCAAAAAACAAAAATCCCTCCATATATTACTAGATAGACTTTAACTAAATTCATGTTTGACATTGCAGTCATTAAAAAACATGAAAGGAGGCCGGGCGTGGTGGCTCAAGCCTGTAATCCCAGCACTTTGGGAGGCCGAGGCGGGTAGATCACGAGGTCAAGAGATCGAGACCATCCTGGTCAACATGGTGAAACCCCGTATCTACTAAAAATACAAAAAATTAGCTGGGCATGGTGGTGCGTGCCTGTAATCCCAGCTACTCAGGAGGCTGAGGCAGGAGAATTGCCTGAGCCCAGGAGGCGGAGGTTGCGGTGAGCCAAGATCGCGCCATTGCACTCCAGCCTGGGTAACAAGAGCGAAACTCCGTCTCAAAAAAAAAAAACATGAAAGGAAAAGTATTCTATTCCTTAAATCTCTAGTCAACAAGCAACTAAAAAAATACAAAATTTGATCATTGATTAAAAATGCATATTGCTTGCTGTAAATAGAAAGGAATGGTAAAAATAAAAGTAAGAACACTATGTCCAAACCCTCCATACAGCTTTTCCCTGACATATGGTTGTATTTATGGTTTTGGGGGGCTACTAAAATAAACAAGAAAGAACACAAGACTTGTTTAAAGTACAATCTTTTAAACTGTTTAGCCAGGCGCGGTAGCTCACGCCTGTAATCCAAGCACTTTGGAGGCCAAGGCGGGCGGATCAACTGAGGTCGGGAGTTCAAGACCAGCCTGACCAACATGGTGAAACCCCGTCTTTAAAAAAAAAAAAATTATAAAATTTATAAACTGTTTAGTATGTAAGGATGAACATAAGGCCAAATCTTATTTAACATGGCAAGAATTTTTGCAGATACACTTTTCTGGCAAATATCTCATCTAATTCTACTTACCTCATTTTTGCTTGAAATATCTTTTCACTATAGAGCATATTTTTATTGATTATCCAAATTTTGGGAGGCAACAGAGTTTATGTCCTACAAATGTTGGAAATTCCCCAGAAGTCCTGAGATTTTTGGAAAATCTTAAGACATTTTTTTATGTTTCTAATTCTTGAAAACATTTGTAGCATTAATATACTGTGGCTTTTAAAAACAGTGCCTATTTTTTAAAGATTGTTTTGTATTTAGTCACAAATTGGGAGGGTTGATCAAAATATATTTTAAATGAAAAATGAAATGCTGACTACAACCTGAAGTGATCATCAGGTTATCGTTGTGACCACAAACTACGTGCTTAATACTGTGTTAGGCTGACTCATAACAAATGGAAAGAGTGATATTTTTTATTTTGATAATACATTTCCAAAGCAAACAAACAAAAAGCTGTGGCAAAAGCTGTGAATTCCTCTGATTTATTAATTTTTCTTTTTTATTAGAACAACTTTTTCCTTCTTACAAATTGACAATACTTTTATATAAAGAGTCCTACAGTAAAAATTTTCTCTAACCAGGTATAACTTGTAATACATTCTTTAGCTCCTTTTCTCTCACTCATAATAGCTAATTATCATGTAGAATCATCAGTTTAAAGGCAGAGCTTTGTTATAACGCTGACTAAAAAATCACTGGTCAGATGCCAAGTGGCACCCTCATGCCCGCATTTGCCATGTTTGGCGTTTTAGATAACAATCACCTACAGTTCTTATACCCTTTAATTATAAAATACTGCAAGTCCTTCAGACAAGTGAGGACCAAAATAAAGATTAAAATTAAACCAAAATTTTAATGATTTCCAATAACACTCTTTAATTACGAAGGTTAAACGTCTACTACATTATTCCAGAGTTACTATTGAAATATTTAACTTGGCATTTGTTTCCTTTTTTTTTTTTTTTTTTTTTTTTTTTTTTTTTTTGAGACGGAGTTTCGCTCTTGTTTCCCAGGCTGGAGTGCAATGGCACGATCTCGGCTCACCGCAACCTCCGCCTCCTGGGTTCAGGCAATTCTCCTGCCTCAGCCTCCTGAGTAGCTCGGATTACAGGCACGCGCCACCATGCCCAGCTAATTTTCTGTATGTTTAGTAGAGACGGGGTTTCACCATGTTGAACCAGGATGGTCTGGATCTCTTGATCTCGTGATCCACCCACCTCGGCCTCCCAAAGTGCTGAGATTACAGGCTTGAGCCACTGGCACTTGTTTCTTAAAAGGTGAGCAAGGTATAAGGTGTCAAGGTATAGATGACAAAGAAAAGTGTTTGATACCACACATTAGCGAACAAAATCTGACAAAGTGTTCTAAATGTAAGAGAAAGGGTGGAAAGAATTTGATAGAAGCTTTATACCATTTAATCTGTTTTGACTCCAACTGTAGACAAAGGGTGAAAAAAAATGACAGAGTTGAAGCTTTAGTTTTGAACAAAACATGAGAGGAAAGAATATTTTTAACATGTCATTAATTAGAAAATTCTAGTGAGAAATCAGACTGAAGAAACTAAGAATATGAAAATGGAGAAGAAATATAGGATTAAAAGCTCTAAACTGGGAGCCGGTGCAGTGGCTCACTCCTGTAATCCCAGCACTTTGGGAGGCCCAGGCAGGCGAATCATCTGAAGTTGGGAATTCGAGACCAGCCAACTTGGAGAAACGTTGTTTCTACTAAAAATACAAAGAATTAGCCGGGCGTGGTGTCACATGCCTGTTGTCCCAGCTACTCCGGAGGCTGAAGCAAGAGAATCACTTGAACCTGGGAGGCAGAGGTTGCAGTGAGCCGAGATCACCCCATCCATTGTACCCCAGCCTGAGCAACAAGAGCATAGTAACTCTGTCTCCAAAAAAAAATGAAACCCTCTAAACTGAAAAAAATAACATCAATCATTTTATAATTTGTTATATCTGCAGTCATTTTTTAAATTATGAATTATAAAATTACAAATCATAAGATATTTCAAATATACAAAACATAACGTAACAGGCAAAAATCTCTGTTGGAGTTTTAACTTACGTTTAATTATAGATGACAGGATGTTGAATGTAGTTACTTTTAACTTCCAAATCACTTCAGTCTCACTGAAATTTGAAATTCATGAATGTAAGGTGGTTTTCCGCAAAGATTTTTAAATTACCTTCCCCCCAAAAGGCAGTCATTGACAAGCTTTACAAAAATATAGAAAATTTTCACAGAAAAAAACATTGTCTTTAATTAGGTGTTTAGTAATGTCTCTCTTTGAATAGGTCCTATCATGAGTAGCTTGGATGACTAGCATTTAATATGCTAGAGAATTATTAAGTCAATTTCATTCCAGTTGCTCTAAATTGAGAAAAACTTGAAATTGAGCCACAGCTACATAAAGGTCTTCCAAGGCAATGGCCAGTTTAGATTCTGAGACTCTGGTAAGAATGAAAGCCTTAAGTTCCATGTTAACAGATCTCAGTATTTTACCCTTACCCTCTAGAGTTCTTTGAGTTAGCCTCAATTGCAGCCATTTTCTGACAATTTGAGCTGAAAGTTAATTCTTTTTATTTCTTTTTTTAAGATGGGGTTTCACCATGTTGGACAGGCTGGTCTTGAAATCCCAACCTCATGTGATCCACCCGCCTTGACCTCCAAAGTGCTTGAATTACACGCGTGAACCACCACGCCCGGCCTGAGCTGAAGGTTAATTCTTGTAGGGAAGGATTTCTAAATTACTTAACTGTGTTTACGGTTAATAAATATTCCTGAAAATCTGACATGTATAACTCTGAGTTTTTCTTTTCTTTCTTCTTTTTTTTTTAAAGACGGGGTTTCACCATGTTGGTCGGGCTGGTCTTGAACTCCCGACCTCACATGATCTGCCCACCTCAGCCTCCAAGAGTGCTGGGATTACAGACATTAGCCACCGCGACCAGCAACTCTGAGTTTTTCAAAGCAGAAACCAGTGTCACACTTCTCTTTTATTACTTTTAAAATGAAATACCCAAGCTTTGCACAGTGGCATGATCGTAGTCAATGAGGTTTATCCAGGATGAGAGTATTGCTAATTGAAAACCTTTCCTAATACTTCACCATGACGACTAGAAATATAGTTGGCATTGACAATTTTTTGAGTCTCTGCAAGGCTGAACAAAAAAATAAATGAAAAATAAAAATAGCCGGGCGTGGTGGCTCACACCTGTAATCCCAGCATTTTGGGAGGCTGAGATGGGTGGATCACAAGGTCAGGAGTTCAAGACCAGCCGGACCAAGATGGTGAAACCCCGTCTCTACTAAAAATACAAAAATTAGCTGCGGATGGTGGCATACACCTGTAATCCCAGCTACTCGGGAGACTGAGGCAGAGAACTGCTTAAACCCGGGAGGCAGAGGTTGCAGTAAGCCGAGATTGTGCCACTGCACTCCAGCCTGGGCAACAGAGTGAGGCTCCATCTCAACAACAAAGAAAAAGAAAATCGGCCCAATAGGGTCACTCACCCCTGTAATCCCAGCACATTGGAATGGCAAGGTGGGAGTTCATTGAAGGCCAGAGTTGGAGACCAATCTGGGAAACCAAGGAAGACTCAGTCTCTACAAAAAGTCTCTCTCCAAAAAGAAAATTAAAAATTAGCAGGACTTGGTGGCAGGCACCTTTAATCCCACCTACTCAGGAGGTTGACACGGAATGATTCCTTGAGCTCAGGTGTTCAAGGCTATAGTGACCTGTGACTGCACCTCAGCTGTGATTGCACACCAGCCTGAGTGACAATGAGAGAACCAGTCTCTAAATAAAAAAAAATTAAAAACCATAAAACTTATGGTTTCTGTTAATGTAACAACTAAAAACTATTTTACTGTCTCTACTAATTCTGTTAAACGGTTTTGTAAAGAGTAACTGACAAGAGACTACAGCATGAAAGCCAGATCAGGCTTCATTTGGGTCCATATGTGTAGGGACAGATGACACATTCAACAAGACAGGCATAGGGTTTACCTTCTAAAGTGGGTAGCTCTTGAGACTGTTTTTATATTCAACAGGAAAATGTGTGGGCATTGAAATTACATCATATGTCATAGCCCAAATAAGCATTTAGTCATTGCAAACAAACATCCGGAGACCAAAAGAAATAATATGAATTAAAATTTCAATACTTTTGAAGACTAGGAAACAAACACAGAATTTCCCTCTTTAATGTTAAAAGAAATTAGCATTCTTCTCTACACGATAGTCTTCTTTTTTCTAGTCTTCGTGAAGCAGTGTTTTTGTGGTGTTTCTTCCACATCTCCACTTCAGTTCTGAAAATTGCCAGCTGCAAATTCTGACATGCCAAGGGCTAAGCTATATTTGCCCAACAAAGAAAAGGTAAAAACAGAATCTTGGAGCCAGTAACGATTATAAACATGTTTCCACACTGTTGGTGTGCTGTTTATAAAAAGAACTCACTTTAAGACTTTAGTAAGTCCCCAAACTTCATTATTTTGCTCTCCCTCCAAGTACAAAGCACAGATGTTTTGGCATGTTGGAATCTGAAGTTTGGAATTTTTAGAAGAGGCCATGTGTGGGCAGGAACTAGCACCCTAGGCAAATCGAGAGGTTCAGCCATTTTCATAAGTTAAAAAAAAAAAAAAAACAGCTCTTGGCCTGGAAGGTTTTTTTGGCGGAGGTTTGTTGTTGTTTTTTGAGGCAGAGTCTCACTCTGTCACCCAGGCTGGAGTTTAGCGGTGTGTTCTCAGCTCACTGCAACCTGTGCCTCCAAGGTTTAAGTGATTCTCCTCTCTGTTTCCCAAGTAGCTCAGCTTACAGGCATGTGCCACGATGCCACGCTAATTTTTGTATTTTTAGTAGAGCTGGGGTTTTGTCATGTTGGCCTGGCTGGTCTTGAACTCTGGACCTCATTATCTACCCGCCTCAGCCTCCTAAAGTACTGGAATTGAAGGCATGAATCACTGCATTCAGCTCAAATTTTTTAAACTTAAAATTTTATGCAAAAACTGCATGTCAAATATTCTCAGACCAAAACTGCATACCTTTGTAATAATTTTTTATTTTTATTTTTTAAAGACGGGGTTTCACCATGTTGGCCAGGATGGTCTCAATCTCCTGACCTTGTGATCTTTCCGCCTCAGCCTCCCAAAATGCTGGGATTACAGACATGAGCCACCACGCCTGGCCTTTCTAATAATTTTTAAACTCAGTTCAATGTAATTTTTGGTAGGTAAAACGAGGCAGACAGCCAATTAAGATAAAATGAATGGGCAATTTCTTTTAAAATTGGAAGGATTCATGTTGTAAGGTTCACAAAAGCAAAAGCTGTGGTCATTCTATGAATCCCTACTGCTTAACAAAGTGCCTGATACCTAGTTAATGTCTGAAATTTTTAACAGTAATTTCCGCTGAGAATTAGGACTTTTCTGGTGTTTATGTTGAGATATGGAAAGAGGTGAGAGATGGCCAGGCACCTAAGTCTGCATTTTAGACTGTAGTTCCTTAAGCTGTGGACATATATAATATGCACTCTCTATGTATGTATGTATGTATATATATATGACATGCAGAAAATATTTTAAAGTGGTAAAATCTTAAAAGTTGGAAAATGTTTAGGATGACCTATATGACTATTTCTGAAAGATGAACTTGCTTTCCCCGCTCCATACACAGGCATCAGAAGTTTATACTTTCCCCTTACAGCTTCATCATTGCCTGATAATTTGTCCATCCACACCTTACCATGTATGAATACATATACAACCAAATCATGTCTATTCCCCATACTGAATGTAAACATGCAGAGAATTTGCCTTTTCTGCATAATTCTCCATCACTTGAATAAATGACACCTTTTTTCATCCAAAAATAATAAACTGAACTGGACTAGATTACTTCTAAACTATTGATATTTTTATGCTCCAGTAACTCACCAGTTTGTTTTGTGGTAGATAAATGTTCATGTAAATAATTAATAGAGAACATCCTTGAAGTGTGATTTGTGTTAATATTTTATATTTAAAATTACAGTATCATCAGTTGCCCAGAATTGTCTCTTTGAATGGTTGATTTTTTGAGGTATTATGAATTTTTAAAATCTCATTTTCTATATTTTTGACATTATATACTGAAATAATCAAGATGAATTTCATTCTTTTGCTGCTGCATGTAACCATGCTCAAACTCATCCCTTATTGTTTTTCCAGGAGGCTTTCCAGCTTTAAAATTTCATCCTCATTAAGATTTTGTGCTCGTGTCACATGTACTAAATTACTCAATATGACCCTTTTTTTTTTTTTTTTTTTTTTGAGACAGAGTTCACTCTTGCTACCCAGGCTGGAGTGCAATGGTGTGATCTTGGCTCACAGCAACATCTGCCCCTGAGGTTCAAGTGATTCTCCTGCCTTAGCCTCCCGAGTTGCTGAGATTATAGGCATGTACCACCATGCCAGGCTAATTTTGTATTTTTCATAGAGACAGGGTTTCTCCATGTTGGTCAGGCTTGTCTCAAACTCCTGACTTCAGGTGATCTGCCTGCCTCAGCCTCCCAAAGTGCTGGGATTACAGGTTTAATATTTCCTCATTTGAAACTCTATCGCACACCCCATTAAAGATATATTTCAAATTCAATACTTTATCTTCCTTTCAGTTCAATAAAAATTCAAAATGTTTACAATAGATGTTGCACTGAACAGAGCTAATCATAAATATTGTCCCTGAAAACGTGGCTCTTATTTGCTCGAGTTCTGATAACCAATAGAAATGTGCTTAAATAATCTCAAATAGATGCCATTAAAGAGTTTTAAAAATAGGCCCGGTGTGGTGGTCCACACCACAAAAATCTGTGAGAAAGGTTCAAATGCCTGTAATCCCCAGCACTTTGGGAGGCCTAAGTTGAGATCACAAGGTCAGGAGTTCAAATATTAGCCTGGCCAACATGGTGAAACCCTTTCTCTACTAAAAATACAAAAATTAGTCATGGTGGCAGGCACCTGCAATCCCAGCAACTCAGGAGGCTTAGGCAGGAGAATTGCTTGAACTCAGGAGGTGGAGGTTGCAGTGAGCCGAGATTGCACCACTGCACTCCAGCCTGGATTACAGAGCAAGACTCCATCTTGGAAAAAGGAAGAAAGGCAGGAAAGAAAGGAAGGAGGGAGGGAGGGAGGAAGGAAGGAAAGAAAGAAAGAAGGAAGAAAGGAGGGAAAGACAAAAAGAAAAATCATGCAGGATAGAGGCTACCTTTATACTAAATTAAAACTTTATTGAATAAAGAACACTCTCCAGAACACACGATTTGATGATGGTCTAGGTCTACATTACATGCAACGAAGCCGAACATGACAGTAGTTTAACATGGAATGTCAAACAGATTAGTATTTTTCATTGTACAAAACTGTTTATGTAACTGACATGCAAGATGAAAAGTGTCATACTCAGCATTTTCACTAATCGTCTGTGATGAGTTTTAAAAAAGGCATTTGGAGAAACTGGTAGACGTCCTCAGCATACAGTTCAAATAAATTAGTTATATGCGTACTATTGAATCCTCTTTAAACCTCTCTTGCATTCCCAGTAAAATCTTAGTGCAAATATCAAATTTGCTGGTCATGCCAAAAGACTGTTGAACTTATAATAGAATACAAGTTCTGAATTACTGTGTATTAAGAAGGGCAAACCCAAGAATACCAGTTACTGCAAAATTCATTTAGGCACACTTAATAGTCCACTCTAAGCATTTTTTTCTAAGTCTCTCACATTAATGACTAAAGCCTGTTTACAGTACTAAAATTCTATCATTCAAGCATCAATGATTACATTTCAGAAAAAGAAAATCATTCATTTCAGTAATAGCATTATTGCTATATCCTAAAAAAAAAAAAGAGAGAAAGCATCATAATTAACAAAACCAGTATCCATAATATATCCAGAATAGGATACATGGGGAAAAACATTTTAGGAAAAAAAAAAAAAGTGTGCTTTACTTGCCACAGCAGGAATTATATAATGTAAACACCATATTGGCCCACACCACAAAAATCCATGAGAAAAGTTCAAATTTGAACACTATATGTGCATTATTTTCAAATCTGTGTGTTTATACTGTATCTGCTTGTACCAATACATGACAACAAAACACACTCTTCCACACGCATACACATACAAGTGATTGCTAAACATTAAGCATGGCTTGATTCCCTGACTCTAGCTCAAAAAAGAAAAAAATGTTACATTACATCGCAACTGTCTTAAAAACGTTTACAGAAACCATTAAATGAATGTGAGTAGTAGCGGAGGAATGATGAAAAAGTGATGGTAATGATAGGGTGCAAGTGGATGGAAAAAGAATGTAGGTATCATGCTGAAATTTGCAAATGCATGGAAAGTCTTATTCTGTGGGCCTTATCTGAATGTTAAACTGATACCAAGAATAAAAAAAAAATATATAGTAGCACGAGTCCATTGACACCTGGAGGGTCAGGCCTAGAAAGCTTACCTTCAAAGTGCAAATTCTAACAATGGAATGTTTTAGCAGGGACTTAAGGACAATCCTCTGTCTTTTTCTTGTTGAAAAGACCAAACGTGTTCAGGAAGTATTTATTCCTGGGTAAAATTATTTCCGTTTCTTGTTAAAACAAAAATATTTAGTCACAATTACCACCCACTCATTCACATACACAGAAACCATTCTTAAGGGTGTTTGCGGGAAGAAAAAGCCCTTATCTACGTAACACCTAATGGAACTCTTATTTATAATCTAAGTTCTTTAAATCCACTACTTTAAATACCAACATGCACCTCTCTTATCCCCTCCCTCTCCACCCATCTACCCCAAACACCCACAATGAACCTAGGTATTCTAATGTCTTTGTGTTTTCTCAGCCTCAGGAGTAAGGCTGTTGAGTACCACACCTCCACTGGACCAAAATTAACGCCTGGTGCACTTTCTACAGCACCTTTTTTCTTCTCCGCAATTGAGTGGAATCGATGCTTTCAAGCCTGTATCTAGATCTCCAGGTCATCAGGCCGAGGTCTGCTGCTGGCACGGCTGCTGGCTCTGCTTGAAGGTCGCTGGTCCACAATGGCTAGTGGCTGTAGTTCGTGTCCAGCACCTAGTTTTTTAGAATTCTGGTTATCATCGGGGAAATCAAAAGGCTGTGCATGGGAGTTAGAGATGGTGCTTCCCGCCTGCCCCATTCGATTTTGTTCTGCACTGTAATTAGCCCAGTTTTGCTCGCTTGCTTGCTTGTTGTAATTGCGGCAAGAAGAATTGTTTCTGTCGCCAGTGACCAGCTTGTACCCAGGAGGAGACATGGGTGAGAGGGGAGCGGTTGGTGAGGAGCAGCCATTGAAATAAGCGTATTTTGGAGACCCACAGTCTTTGGCGGGGCTCAGTGGGCCAGTGGTGGCATGGTAAGGGTCGCTCTTTCCCTTAACTCGATCCTTAACGCCCTTGAAGAAAACATAGAAGAGTTCAATGATATTCAAGGCAAGAGACACCAAGGACACCACCAGCATGAAGATGATGAAGATGGTTTTCTCTGTGGGGCGAGAGAGGAAGCAGTCCACCTGATGTGGGCAGGGATCTCTTTTGCAAGTGTAAACAGCACTCAAGCTGAATCCATAGATGTACCACTGGATCAGCAGGAAGGCCACCTCGAAGACAGACTTGAAGAGGATACTGATGATGTAGGTTCGCAGCAACCCTCCTCGCATCTTCACCTTGCCATGCTCTTCAATACCGTACTTGAACTTCTTGATCTCAATCTGCTTCAAGTGCATCTCCACATTGACACCGTCAGTTTGGGCAACCTTGAGTTCCTCCTCTTTCTTGTTCAGTTTCTCTTCCTTTCGCATCACATAGAAGACATGAGCCAGGTACAAGAGTGTGGGTACAGACACAAATATGATCTGCAGGACCCAGAAGCGCACATGAGAGATTGGGAAAGACTTATCATAGCAGACGTTTTCACAACCAGGTTGTTGAGTGTTACAACGAAAAGCCGACTGCTCATCTCCCCACGCTGACTCAACCGCTGTCCCCAGGAGCAGGATTCGGAAAATGAAAAGTACTGATAACCACACCTTCCCTCCGGCGGTGGAGTAGGCTTGAACCTTGTCAAGGAGTTTGCCCAAGGCACTCCAGTCACCCATGTTGCCTGGGCACCACCTGAAAAGAAACAAAGACAATTAAAATATCACAGATTTGCAAATTACTAGTTTAACATTTAGTCCCTTTCGGCAGATGGTTAAAATACTACAAAAGGTTTCATATATTTCCAACATACTTTCACAAAAAACCAAGTGCAAACTCTTCCTGTCCCATTTTCCTCGAACGAAAAGTTATAACACGTGTTTTGTTTTTGAGCTAAAGTAAGTCTTAGAAGGAACAGAGAGTGTGTTGCAATCATAACCTGGAAAGATGTATTGCTTGCTCAACCGCTGCCTTGCCATGTGACTTGTGAAGCCATCTGCGCTAAGCCTCTGCTTATTTTATTTGCTTGATAAATAGGACAGTTCTTACCTGGTAGGTCTGTGATTGCATGGGTACCTAAGCAAAATGTCGATGTGTATTATTCAAAGCACAGGCATCTAAGAATCCAGGTAAAAACACCTATGAACCCACACACATAACCTTTTTTTCAAAACTTTTATTATTATATATCATTTTATTACTAATTTCGCCCTGAAAGATTTTTCAATGGTATCTCAAGTGTAACCTGTGATACTCTATGTTATTGTCATTTATGCTTTTCTGTTTCTTTTTTTTTAGAGACAGGCTTTCACTATGTTGCCCAGGCTTCTGGACTCAGGCAATCCTCCTGCCTCAGCCTCCCAAGTAATGAGTACTATTTTTATCTTAAGCAGTGACTTGTATATAGCTCAAAAGTCTGCCTTTGTCGGGAGAAAAAGCAGCTGTATGGAAATATACTATTTAGCTACAATGTATTATATGTAGTAACCTACTTTCAAAAACAAAGACTAGGCCGGGCGCGGTGGCTCACGCCTATAATCCCAGCACTTTGGGAGGCCGAGGCGGGTGGATCACAAGGTCAAGAGATCGAGACCATCCTGGTCAACAAGGTGAAACCCCATCTCTACTAAAAATACAAAAATTAGCTGGGCATGGTGGTGCGTGCCTGTAGTCCTAGCTACTCGGGAGGCTGAGGCAGGAGAATTGCTTGAACCCAGGAGGCGGAGGTTGCGGTGAGCCAAGATCGTGCCATTGCACTCCAGTCTGGGTAACAAGAGGGAAACTCTGTCTCAAAAAAAACAAAAACAAAAACCAACAACAAAACAAAGACTAGACTAAATACACATCACACTTTAAGTAAAAAAGCAAACAAACAAAACCTACTTCAGTGTTTTCTCCAGCCAGAAATGATTGGTTTTCATCTTTTGATTGTTAAATACTTTAAAGTTCCCCTACTGGGCTTTGGGCACTCAGGCTATACATCCAATTTAACTTCTTACCAATACCTAGCTATCTAAAGGCTATGCCTTTTCCATTACTGAGGTTAAGAAAAAGATCAAAGTTGTCTAGTTCAACTATGCTTCTAATTGCTGATTATCTATCTAGCTGATAAAAATTGAGGGTATCAGGGTATAGGAAATATTTAGCTACAGATAGAGCCAGACGAAGATTCACAGTCCCCCTGGCCAAGGCTTTTCAATGCCTGGCATTGGTTTTACAAGTATAGCAAAGCTGGCTGGGCTTGGTGGCTCATGCCTGTAATCCCAGCACTTTGGGAGGCTGAGGTGGGTGGATTACAAGGTCAGGAGTTCAAGACCAGCCTGGCCAATAATGGTGAACCCCGCCCTGGCCCGGCTCTACTAAAAATATAAAAATTAGCTGGGCGTGGCAAAAGAATTGCTTAGCCCTGGGAGGCAGACGTTGCACTGATCTGAGATTGAGCCGTTGCACTCCAGCCTGGGAAACAGAGTGAGACTCCATCTCCCAAAAAAAAGGATAGTAAAGCTGCGCTAAAAGCTAGAAATGCTTCCATGCTTTTATATATACAATCTTAGTAAGGGCTGAAAGCTGGGAAGAAATGAGTAACATGACGTGGCAGGCATAGGGAATATAGGCTAATTTCAGCAGACAGTAGTAATTGGAGGGTTTAGAAAAGGATGAATTAGTCAAAGATTATTTAATAATTAAAAACGAGCAAAGCTAAGACTTTACTAATGAATTCTAAATAGTGTAACTGAAGGTAGGATTACTTAGGCTTCTTAAAAATAGGTTTACTATCTGAATATAAAGCAGTTTATCTGATATTGAACTATGAGCTGTATTCTCCTAGTAAGAAGTAAATGAAATCCAGGGGCGTCTTCTTCCGTAGGAAGCAACATTACATTTCTGTCAAATGACTGTATCTGCCATAGAGAACAAGAAAAAATGAAATGGACACCTGACTTGGGAGTTCCTGGACCGATCAAAGAAGAGATGGTTGAGCCATAAAGCTTGAATTAGATGCCATGGGTATCTTTGATGACAGCCCAGGGACTGGTGCCAAAGAATGCTGGAATAAGAGTGGAAGGTGGGTGGGAGGGCCACAGAAATAACGCTCCCCGAGTGGTCATAAAAAAGGGAGTCTCCCTTCTACTTTTTTTTTTTTTTTTTTTTTTTTTTTTTTTGTTGAGATGGAGTTTCACCCTTGTTACCCAGGCTGGAGTGCAATGGCGCGATCTCGGCTCACCGCAACCTCCGCTTCCTGGGCTCAGGCAATTCTCCTGCCTCAGCCTCCTGAGTAGCTGGGATTACAGGCGCGTGCCACCATGCCCAGCTAATTTTTTTTTGCACTTTTAGTAGAGACGGGGTTTCACCATGTTGACCAGGATGGTCTCGATCTCTCGACCTCGGGATCCACCCGCCTCGGCCTCCCAAAGTGCTGGGATTACAGGCTTGAGCCACCGCGCCCGGCTCCTTCTACTTTTAAGAAGGATCATTTTAGATTCTGAAGTGACAAGTTAGAAAGTTTGTTTCATACATCAAACAGCAGTCAAATAAGAACAAAAGCTTGACGGGCTGACAAAGACAGTTAAATAGCCAAGGGAAGGCTTGAAGGAAGGGAGTAATTTAGTCTTGATGGTGAGTTTGATGGTGAGAGAATGTGAAAGAAAAAAACCCCCTATAATTTAGCAGAAAATACTAGACTGGAAATGAAGAAGTACAGTCCATGAGGGTCAGACAAACAGAGTAAAATTTTTGAAGCTATAAATAGATAGTTTCTATGTGATGATGTGTAAAATTGGCCCTAAGTCTGTTTGTAAAAAACTACAATATTTTGCCAGTGTCATCTGCTTTTACTCAGATACTGCAATTGTTGGGGAGAAAATAATAGAAACAATCAAGTATGAAAAGATAAATTGTTTGTATACATCTCATCACATTTATGCAATGATAGAGCTGAAGACAAAGCTAGCATGTTTAAAAATAACACCAGGCACAAAAGAAATTATTTTAACTACTGTTTAATCATTACTCAAAGTAATATATGATTGTGTAGATGCTTATAGCAATTCATCACTAAGTTTATTTACATTCTATAAGAAATAACATTTTGCATAATACGTAACTTTAATATAATTTTGAGATTCTGCAAAAAATACTCCACAGTTCCATAGTATGTGAACTAGGTCATCGGGCAGCTCTCTAGGTAGTATAGGTAGTAGTTTTTTTTTTTTTTTTTAATACACTAGCAACTTAATTGCAAAGTTGTCTTTTCTTCAAGCACCCATGCAGTTTCATTTGCATTAATGAGTTATACTTTCATCTTAATAAGATATGAATTATCCAATTGGACACTATCCTGTAACATGTAGGTATCTGTCAATTACCACTATTACAGGGAACATCAAATAATGTTTAATGTGACAGCTGCCCAAAAAGAAGTAACAAAAATTGTTCCCCTTTTTTTGGTAGTTGCTCACTTTGCCATGAATCAAGTTTTGGTGACTGGCTATTCCTCCCTGCTGCACCCCTCCCAACCTGGCTTAGTATCTTCATTTTTTCAGGTCATGTAGGATAAAATTAATATCCTTTATAATAAAAGGGCATAATTATATGTTTACAGAATCCCTGGCATTGATCTACAGACTATGCACTGCATTTTTATTCAGCAGGAGACAGGCATATTTCTTATTCAACACATGAGAACACCAAGGCAGCTGGACATCTCACATATATTCATGCCTTCACCTCTAAGATCCTGAGTTGGTGCTTTAAATGTAGGCTAAGGTCTGAGAGGAGTTGTGCAAAGTTCTCATTAAGAGCAGAGTCCTAGCAGCTGGACCACACTTCCGTCTATGCACCATGTGAGATTACATTTCTATTGCTCTTCACGGCCCGGTAGACTGGACACCCAAAGCTACAGGCACTAAGTGCGACCAGCCTAAGGCCACTCTAGTCCCTTTCCAGAACTGCAGTCAGTCAGTCACTTGGCAGCATTTGTTTAAAAACATACACCCCTGGGCCAGGCACGGTGGCTCACGCCTGTAATCCCAGCACTTTGGGAGGCCAAGGCGGGTGGATCATGAGGTCAAGAGATCGAGACCATCCTGGCCAACATGGTGAAACCCCGTATCTACTAAAAAATACAAAAAAAAAATTAGCTGGGAGTGGTGGCCCATAGTCTCAATTACTTGGGAGGCTGAGGCAGGAGAATTGCTTGAACCTGGGGGGCGGAGTTTGCAGCCTAAGATTGCACCATTGCACTCCAGCCTGGCGTCAGAGCAAGACTCCGTCTTAAAAAAAAAAAAAAAAAGACAGAAAAAACATACACCCCTGGTCTTCAGCAGTCTGGATGAATCTGAATTTCTAGAGGCGGGGCCTAGGAGTAAGGTTTTGTTTGTTTGTTTTTTTGGTTACTTTTTAAATAAATGTCCCAGGTGATTCTGAAGGTTTTGGGCCAGGAGGCAAACACTGGTTTCTTGACTTTCTGCTTCTTTCTTGTTCAGCATATTTAGGGGTGGGAAAACTGTCAGGAAAGTGGAAGAGACAGAGTCTAAAAAATCCACGGGGCTGTCTGTGGAGTAGCAGCTCTCTGGGCGCCGGCACTGAGCCCATCCCTGGCTCCACGTTCCTCGACACTCTGCATCTCCGTTGGCACCTCCCTTAGAGCAGAAAGACTTAAACTCTTTAATTCAAATGAAATCTCTTAAAAATAA